GTGTGTGTGTGTGTGTGTGTGTGTGTGTGTGTGTGTGTGTGTGTGTGTGTGCGTGCGAGAGAGAGAGGGAGAGAGAGAAAGAAAGTGAAAACCCTTAAGTCTCAATGCTGAAGGCAAACCATTCATCTTCCCTCTCATATGCTCTTCTGGGCTTCAATCCCAGTCCCAGTGTGTGTGTGCGTGTGTTTTTGTGTGTGTGTGTGTGTGTGTGTGTGTGAGTGTGTGTGTGTTCGCATCTTCCAAATATGGAGAGCAGTCTGAATGATGAACATGATCTCCATTGCAGCAGAACAATACTATTTCTAAATAGGACATGAGAGGCATTCAGTGTTCCCTCATACACTGTGTATGGGGGAACCAATGCTTGTTTGCAGGGGCTCAGGCGCACCATGTGCAATGAGGCATCTGCTGCAGGTGATAGCGAGTGTGTGTTTCTGTGCAGTTGCGTGCATCCATTAAGTGTCATTCCCAACGGCGTCCAAAGTTTTTGCTACATCAATCAGATGCTTATTCAGAGAATGCTGGGCGTCACTCTTACAGTCGGGCAGGTGGCACCGAGCAGCTGGGTGATGGCTGCCAGCCTGGCCCCTGGCATCACCTCTGCTCTGAGACCGCCCAGGCTTGCTCTCATACACCTGCTAGCTACCTGCCTCTGGAGCTTTTCACACCTGGATATTTTTGCTTCTCACCAAACACAACATCCCCGCACCTGTTTAGTGGAAGCCTACTGTGCTACACCACCTGTTAATTAACTATGAACGGCAGCAGCCCTGCATTCTGTATCCTAATCCACAAAGACACAATTAATAAAGAGAAAAAAGTAGCTCACAAAGCTGTGTTTGCATGTATATGAGTGTGTGTATAACAATCATTTCTAGTCAGGGCTGCAGGTACTACCTTAAAAAGTAGTGACTTATTAAATTCAGAGTAGTTTTGCCTTCATGATCTGATACAGTAATATGAGATTAAAAGGTCACCTTTTTTCAATTCTAACATTTTACATATCAGGGCATAATAAAATGAATCATCTGTTCCTTCCCAGGTCTTACATTCTTTTTAAATGTAACCTCAGATGAAAAACAGCACATAACAAAATTGCATCATGTCATTATTTATGCCACAGAAATGAACCCAAAATGCAGAAGCCACATGTGGAAAAACTAAGTACACCCTTTACTTTTTCTTGTCTGTTGATTCCTGTGGAAACAGAAAGTACTGCTAACCAACTGCACCTCATTAACTGATAATCAGCAAGTGTGATCCTCTCCATAAAAACAGAGGCTTTGGCAGTTCGCTGGTCTGGAGTATTCAGATGTATGTTAACACAACACAAAGAAGGAATGACATCAGTAATGACCTTAGTGAAGCAATTGCATCACCACATCAATCTGTGAAGGGTAATAAGGCCATTTCCAAACAATGTGAAGTTCACAATTCTATAGTGAGAAAGATAATTCACAACTGGAAAACATTCAAGACAGCTGCCAGTCTTCCCAGGAGTGGACGTCCCAGCAAATTCATTCCCAGGTCAGACATGCAATGTTCACAGAAACTGCAAAAACCCAAGAGCCACATCTCAGACTAAACATGCCTCAGTGAGCATTTCAAATATTAAAGTTCATGAGAGTACAATTAGAAAAAGACTGAATGAGTGAAGTGTTGTCAGGAAAAGGCTCTTATCTCTAAAAGATTGGAAAAGCTGCATCTGAATGGACTCAGGAACAATGTCCTTTGAACTGAGGTAGTGATCTCTTGCCATAATCCACAGCACCACTTTTTATTAAACCTGAAGCGTACCAGCACAAGTGCCTACTGTCAAGCAACTGTGGTGGAGAAGTAAAGATCTGAGCTTGTTTTACAGCCATATGACCCAGAGTAAACCATGAACTTCTCTTTATATCAAATTATTCTAAAGTTAAGTGTGAGGAAATCTGTCTGGCGGCTCAAATTTGGCAGCAAGACAATGAACACAAGCACACCAGCAAATCTATAGCAAAATGGCTAAAAAAGAAAAAGAAAAATGAAAATAAAACACCAAAAATCAATGTGCTGTAGTGGCCAAAGTCCAGATCTCAACCCTGTGATGGGACATTTGTTTAAAAAATGGATGGGATGTACTTAACTTTTCACACACTTCTTCTGAATTCTAGCCTAGTTTTTGTTAAAAATAAATAAATAAATAAAAAATAAAACTTCAACATATTACAGCTATTAACTGTACATAAATCATGGACCAGTCACCATACTGGGACACATTGAGGTCATAGACTGTTTTTTGTGGATTCCTGTTTTTAAATCTCAAGTTGAGCATTTGAAAACAGACAGGTGGCAGATCTGATCCAAACACTCAGGACAACAGAATTTTAGCAACAATCAGTCACTAGATAGCCATTCTTTATGCCATACCCAGCTTTACCACATTTTACTTTAAATGGGACCAGAACACATATTATGGTGTATTGGATAAAACTCAAAACTACCAGCTAAGATCAGAAACTCACTAAGTAAATTCCTACTGAGGTATTAAATCAAACCCAAAAGAGAAAAAAAACATCCTACACTGTCTGACTTCTTTTTATAACCAGAGAAGTCACCCACTGCTGATGATTAGAGAGAAAGCAGACTGAAAGCACCTCCGCAACGGTCTTACTTTTCAGAACCTCGGGCTATGTCTATTTTTTATATACAGTCTGTGGTTACTTGGCTGCCAGTATTGTGCATGCTGAGTCACTTTCATTGTGCTTTTTTGACTTTAATGTCAAAATGCTGCTATGATGAGGGATTTCTCTTGTGATGTGAAACTACTTTCGTGTCACAAGAGAAAAAGATTTTTTCTCTGTTTGCAGAGTAATCAGTGAATTAACCACATTACCCTTTCAGTTACTCATCAGTTAAATGATGAGTAAACAGTAATATCTTCAAAGTTGTTCCTGACTTTGATGCTGCACTTACCTTTCCTCTTGGAGTCCCGTCTTACGCTGCTGGGCCTGACCGCTGGTTGTAGCTCTGTCTCTGTTGACATCCTCAGGCTCCAACTGGTTTAGACTCCGCTCCGCTTGGCTCAGCTGGGATCGGCTGGGCTCCGAGGGTCCAGTTCACAGCGTCAGTGCCGGCTGTGCGTGCGTGGCCGCCGGGTGTGTGCGTGGAGGCGCCAGGTGTGTGTGTGGGCACACAGGCTCATGGGAGAGGGATGGGCTTTAGCCCTGACACAACATCCTACACACACCCACAGAGAGCTGGAGGAGAAAAGACAGGGAGAAAGAGGTTGGCGTCGGTGAGGTTGCGCTTACTCTTGGCAGGTGAGACCTAGAAAGAGTTCTCAGCAGGCATTAGAATGACTTCGTCTCTGATCTGCTTTGAGAAGATGTTGCCAATGGTAACAGACTAAAGAGACCTGCACTACACTTTCTGCTTTCTATCAATAATGTGCCTCAGCAAGAAATTTTCTTGAGAAAATGTTCTTCCTCCTGAAGCCAGGTAACCAGGAGTCAGATTTAAAAGTACTAATAATGCATTCAAACGTTTACACATGACGTAATCTGTTAGATCATTATTGTGTTGGTTTTATCTTCCTATACTCCCCAAATGTTTGGCTATGACATGGGAAGTCACTAACCTAATGTCAGACAGGGTAAGAAACACAAGTGTTTTCAACAAGCAGGTGGAACCAGCAAAGTAGTATCGACAGAATATCTATACCGCTTTATTTGCAGGTAAAGCCAAGCATGAGTTCACCTCCAACATGTTGCAACAATCTCTTATTGCACAGGAAAACTCTGTTTGCACAAACTAAAGGTTTCAGGAAGAAAAATTGTTAGACCCGGTGCCTGTGATAGCAACATCTACCTGCCATACCACATGCCGCAAAGATAGAACAGTAGAGCAGCATTGGCGCTGCTCTCGCTACTTCCATGACAATGACATAATGCTGCTGGTGAGAGGAAAGAAAAAGACTCACTGGGGATTTTATTTCTCACTTTGAGTCTGAACCAAAAGTAACAGGAAATAACAGCAGGGGAACACGGTTAACCTTGTTTACAGCTATGAATGATTTAATGACCATAAGTGGACCCATACTTGCTGAACAACAAAAGATAAAACAATTATAATTCACAACATTTGCTTTACTTCTTCATAGTTCTGCTTAAGCTTCCAAAGTGTTTTTATTAGCTTGAAAATAATATGCTCGGGTTGAAACATTGCTACAGCACCCTACAGTAATTCAGAGCTGAACCAGGAAGTCGAAACAGTGATAGAGAATTATGACAGACAATTTGCTCACTTTATCTTTTCTAACAGGTCAATTTTTTTAATATTTATGCATTCTGTATCCTGACAGCAATTATCTGATATCTTAGCAATTAACTTGAGGGTTCCAGTGTTATTATTACGAGCACGAACAGAAGCTTAAACTAACAAGACCAAGGTTGTATTAATTTCTTTTTAATGCTAATTCCAGCTGCCCTTCTTAGGACTGACAGGCCCCTTTGGCCCCAGCATTTTGTATTTTTCCTGCCCATCTGCTGCTACTTATTCCTAAGTGTTGACTGGCAGTGACTACCATAACTTAGCAGCCAAAAACACTCAGATTCACACTTTAATGCTGTTGTGTGAATGCATGAAAGCACGCTCATTTACATGTGCACACAAATCCAGAATAGCTTTTTTTTTCTTACTTGGAGATGGTAAAGCACAAAGACGGGCAGCTGCAAGCTGACATGCTACATAATGAATCTGACTACCTTCTGAGCTGCTCTTCCAATCTTCTTAGAATATAAGTCTTGACCTCTCTTTCCTTCTCCGTCTCCATCTAACAGTGGCCGAGTGCCGATTTAAACAAAACCAAAAGACTTGTGCTTCTTGGGGAAGAGGGAAATCTCTCTTATTCTATTCCTCCCCCTCTCCACGGTGTTTTTGTGTGAATAGGAGGCCCCTGTAAGCCTTGGGCGAGAACAGATGAATTGAGAGGCTTTTAATTTGCTGCAGACAGAACAGAACAGAGTCCATTTAATTCTGCCAGCAGAGGCCATGTCGGCAAAATGCTGACAATATTCTTTATCTGGTCCAAACACACTGGAAAAGTGTGAGTCACTCCAATTACAGGCATTATCAGCAGCACTGTTCCACCAAATGGATGGAGAGAGAGTGAGTATGAAGAGAGAAGGGTTAGAGGGAAGAGAAACGAACAGAGTGGAAAGAAAGTGAGGGGTGAGGGAACATAGAGTGGGTGAGAAAGACAATGAGCGAGGGGTAAAAGGGGAGAGAAAAAAGCCCAAGGAAGTAAAATCAGAAAAGAAAGGATGGGGTCTGAGCAGCTTCAGCTTCAACCCTGAACATGTCCCCTGTCCGTCTCTTCTCCTTCCTTTTTTTGTTCTCTGAATTTGTTCTCTTCCTTCTAGCTGTGAAGTCTTTCATGAAGCATCTGGAGCTCGTGTTTAAAAAAAAAAAAAGAAGCAGTCTGTTAATCCTCAAACTGGACCAGAGACGAGGCAGTCCAGCAATTCTCACTGCACACACACAATCTACAACCAAGCGCACACACAAATAAGACCTCGTAGACAAGTTTCTGTAGTGCAACTTTGATTTCACAAACAAATTTAGACCAACTTTAAACTGTGAAATGGGTTCACAGTTTACATCCTGTCTGCAAAGTTACTCCTGTAAGAGAACAACTCACTTATTTAAAGATGTTCTACCCATCCAAGCATTACAAGCAAAACAGCCACTACTTCACTGGTGAAAATGAGCAAGAAACAGGATTGTGAGACTGAAAATGAAAAATCTGCTGCAGCACAGCTCTCCAGACATATGGTTGTTTCTCTAGAGACTCGGCGAAGAGTTCTACATCTTAAGCTACCGTCCCTGGAGAGGAGAACAAGCTAATTTCTCAAAACACAGTCCATGTCTAGCTTCAGCTGTACAAATTCCCTGCCTTGAAAGCACGCACAGATAAAGTGAAGGAAAGAGCAGCACCATCAAAAGCCATCGTGAACGCTGTAGTGGTGGTTTGACCTGGAATCAGCGCGCAAGCTAAATGTAGCAGCAGAGCAGGATGTGAACATGGCTTAGTGTGTCTGGATTTAGACAGCAATCTGAAGCCACGCCAGAGGAGAGGCATAGTGCAGGCAAGGAGGAGAAGGGAATGAGCAGTAAATTGGACGTCCGTAAATGGGGCGCTGCCAACAGGCGCTAGCGGGAGATGTGACGATCTGCATGTGTGTGCACGCGCTTCACTGTACTGTATGTGTGTATGACTTCATAAACAGGATGCTGCCAACAGGAGCTTAATGCCCAGAAATCATCTGCAGCTACAGGAAAGTATGCCAAGTTAGTGGAAAGAAAAAAAGAAAGGAAGCGAGAGAGAAAGGGCGTGCTCTCTCTATCCACCTCGCCTTTCTCCCACCTCTCACTCTTACAGGGTAATTGTGTTCCGTCCATCAGGCTCAGAGTTAGATTGCTGGCTCCACTCATTCGGCTCTCCTGCCATCTCAATAATGAATAATCATAAAGACCCCCTCTACACTACTCGCACACGCTGTTCTCAATACTTGTGCTCTGTCCAGCCTACGCGCACCCTCACACTTTATCAGTGCTACCTTTGTATCCTGACACCATTGCACCGAGTCCTTATCAGCAGCACGCTTCTCCTCTGAGGTGTATTCGTTGATGAATAACAATGTTGGTACTAAAGGTCAACCAAGTTACATTCTGCTAGGTTTCAGATGTTTTTACAGTGAATGAACGGTGTTCGTTTTAACTATATAAAACAAACAAAATCACATGTAGTTTTAAAGACCCAAACGGCTACATACACCTTTTAAATGTCAACTGACAGAGCACACCATCAAGCCGAGGAGAGAAATAAATGTCAATAAATTTCTGTTCTGTCCAGAAAAAGTATAAAACTTAAGGATATAAAACCTACCAGTTCATGAGCCTTAGCAGATAAAAATATATAGTGTCCACTCAACTTCGGTAGTCCAAAAAGCTCAGGAAGACGAGGTGAGGAACAAAACAGTGGAGCAGAAATGAAGGAAATGAAGAGAAGGAAGGGTAAAAGATCAACTAATAGAGGTTAGAAGAGAAGGCGTGCCTATTGGTGTATGATATAAAAGGTTGTTTGCACTTCTGTAAAAAGACTGTGAGAGTGTGGGATTAAAAAAAGAGCAAAAAACATGAGGTCTGGACTAAAGTCCAATGCTATGCAAAGATGCTGCATATCACTGCACTTTGTCCAGCATATAACAATAAAAGAAGTGTACTTTCCACAATCTAATCTCCTTTTTGATGAGGGATTTGTGCAGACAGATATAAAGCAATGATGAAAAGAAATGCAATTTCCTGATAAATTTTGTATCAGGGTAACTTCATAGATAATAATCAATAAATCATTAAATGCTTTGGACATGTAAAAGTTCATCTGGCAATGCAGAAGTAATGCCAGTGAAGTGGTTGCAGGGATAGTTGCAGAGGCATACTGCACCGTGAAATCATCTGTGAACTCATCAGTGATCAAATTCTTATCATTAAACAACTTTGGCACTAGGATGTTTTATCAGCATGATGACATTTTTATTGATCTAAAGCAAGACTGTAACCTTTAGCTGATTAATCAGTAACAGCATTAGCCGTTTTTGTACTTAGTTTTTTAAAGCATTATCCAGTGATGGATTTTCACATCAGGAAAATGTTCCCTTTTTGTCTCATGTGATAGAAACCAAAAATATTTTGGACTGTTGGTTTGGCAACATCACCACCTTGATACTTTGAACTATTGAAAATATGGTGAGGATATTCAATATTTTCTGACATTTTATAGGCCAACCAGAAATTCATAAATATGATGGAAATACTCTTGAGCGACAGCCTTGATCCAAAATTACCCCAATATCATCAAAAGATGTAGATTTTTAATTGCTTTTTAAAAATTAAAGCTCACTCTAGCTACTTGTGCAGCCACATATTGCATTTGTTAGCATTATCCATCCCTGGTAGAAGACGTTAGATCTTAGCAGTAGAATGGCATCATGGGTCAACGCAGTTATCACACGCTGAGAAGCAACTGTCAAAATGCATGTGATCACCGCTCACCACGTCATAATGAAGCTAAAGTATTATATAGCAGCTCCGTGGTAAAAGGGCATTTTTGACATTGATCTAAATAGCCAGTCCACCCACACTGCACGTTAGCCTAGCTGAATTTCTGAGAATTCCTTTTGGGGCTGGGGGAAGAAAA